ATCGTTATTGGGAGAAGTACCATCATCTGAAGCTGAAGGGGTTGAAGAAAAAGGAGGAGAAGAAGACATGTATGGTAGCACAAGGTCCGAAGGAAGTTCCCGGGATGACATAACTCAATAGCAGTCTCAACCTTATGGCGGGGAAGCAGTCCACGGTAGTTGCAGGTCAAGACCAGCTTGGTTGATGCCATAGTGGGTCCAGGGAGCCAAAAAAAATTGATATCTGAGGCCTTGGTTCAGAAGCTGGGATTGAAGACGGTTAAACATCTGAAACTTTATCCTTTAGGTGGATTCAGAAGGAGGCGGGATTGAGTGTGGTCAACCAATGTACTTTTATATTTGCACTTTACGAGTCGTATATTGACGAGGTCACATGCGACGTTGTTTTGTTGGATGTTTGCCAAGTGATATTGGCAAATCCTTATTTATGGGATAGGTACACGGTATACGATAGGCGGGCTCAGAAGTGTATGTTCACCAAGGATGGCGAACAATTCATATTTCGTTCGGTATCTCTTCCACAGGAGACGAGTTTGGTGACGATGACACGGGTGAAGAGGCTAGTGAATGCGAGCAAGAAGTTTGTATTGTTATTCATTAGACCTTATGAGGAGCAGCTGAGAAGGGTGTGCTTGACTACCTTGAGCAAGCTTCAGGAGTGAGATCTTGATAGGTTAAAGGCCAAGTACATAGACTTGTTTTCGGAGATCACAGGACTACCACCACGACAGGGTGTGGATCATGAGATTATGTTGACCGGCGAGAGTTATTTGCCGAATATAGGTCTATACCGCACATCTGTACAAGAGTCTGAGGAGATCATGAGGCAGGTTCAGGAGCTTTTGGAGACAGGAGTGATTGTACCGAGTTGTTCACCTTGTGGGTCACCAGTATTGTTAGTGCCCAAAAAGGATGGAGGTTGGCGTATGTGCATGGATTACCGGGCGCTCAACAAGATAACCATCAAGAATCGTTACCCATTACCTCGGATTGATGATCTTATAGACCAGTTGGAGGGAGCGAGGTTTTTCACGAAGTTGGATTTAAAGTCTGGATACCATCAGGTGAGGATTCGGGAAGATGACACTTGGAAGACTGCGTTTAAGACCAAGCAGGGCCTATTCGAGTGGTTGGTGATGCCGTTTGGATTGTACAATGCTCCGGGTACTTTTATGAGACTTATGAATGATTTGTTGTGACCCTTTATAGAGGATTTTTTGATAGTTTACCTCGATGATATCTTGGTGTACAACAGGACCTGGGAGGAGCATCTTGTTCATGTCGAGAAGGTGTTTGAAGTGCTGCAGAATGGACAACTGAAGCTTAATGGGAAGAAGTATGAATTTAGAAAGGACAAGTTGGTGTATCTCGGCTTCATCGTGGGGAAGGGCTCGCGCAGGATATATCCAAATAAGATGGTGGTGATCATGAAGTGACCGACGCCTAGGACAGTGACGGAGGTGAGAAGCTTCATGGGAGCTTGCCAGTATTTGCGCAAGTTCATTCGGTATTTTTCGACTTGATGATCTTATAGACCAGTTGGAGGGAGCGAGGTTTTTCACGAAGTTGGATTTAAAGTCTGGATACCATCAGGTGAGGATTCGGGAAGATGACACTTGGAAGACTGCGTTTAAGACCAAGCAGGGCCTATTCGAGTGGTTGGTGATGCCGTTTGGATTGTACAATGCTCCGGGTACTTTTATGAGACTTATGAATGATTTGTTGTGACCCTTTATAGAGGATTTTTTGATAGTTTACCTCGATGATATCTTGGTGTACAACAGGACCTGGGAGGAGCATCTTGTTCATGTCGAGAAGGTGTTTGAAGTGCTGCAGAATGGACAACTGAAGCTTAATGGGAAGAAGTATGAATTTAGAAAGGACAAGTTGGTGTATCTCGGCTTCATCGTGGGGAAGGGCTCGCGCAGGATATATCCAAATAAGATGGTGGTGATCATGAAGTGACCGACGCCTAGGACAGTGACGGAGGTGAGAAGCTTCATGGGAGCTTGCCAGTATTTGCGCAAGTTCATTCGGTATTTTTCGACTTATGCGGCACCTTTGCATGGCCTTACGAAGGCGAAGGTTTAGTTTGAGTGGGGAAGGACGCATGAGGAAGCTTTTCAACTACTAAAGAGGAAAATCTCGGAGGCACCGGTGTTAGCATTGCCAAATTTACAGAGGACCTTCGAGGTAGAGACTGACGCTTCTAGTTATACTATGGGCGCTGTGTTAATGCAGGATGGGAAGCCGGTGGAATACCATTCAAAGATGTTCACGGGTGCTATTCAGAACTACCCCACCTACGACAATGAGTTTTATGCACTTTATCAGGCAATCAAGCATTAGCGGGTGTATTTGTTGGGAAAGGAGGTGGTTATGCACTCGGATCATAAACCATTGTAATTTTTACATACCCAGATGAAGCTGCAGCAGGCACAACACATGAAGTGGATGTCCTATTTGATGACGTTTAACATCATCATTAGGTGCAAGAAAGGGACAACGAACAAGTTAGCCGATATGTTATCTCGTCCACTCATGAGGGCTCTCTTGGTGGCGACGCGCATTCAGCCCTTGATTCCTTTGGGGTATGTACAGATGTACACATCCAGCAGAGACTTTAGTAGTGTGTTCGAGCAGGCGAAGGCTGGTCGAAGAGGGGAGTATGAGATTGGTGAATATGGTTTGTTATATCGTTGGACGTCGCTTTGCATTCCAGAGGATGGCGACCGATTGCAGTGGATTCGAAAAGCACATACATCACGTGTGCAATGTCATTTTAGGATTCAGAAGACGCTTCTCAATCTACGACGCCATGTCCTTTGGCCAAAGATGTTGGAGGACGTTACTAAGTATGTTGGAGGGTGTATGCTATGTTGCATATCGAAACCTTCTAATAGGAAACAGGGATTGTATCTACCATTGCTGGTACCTTCGAGACCGTGTGAGAGTATTTCTATGGATTTCTTAGGAGGATTGCTGACGACCAAGCGTGGACATGATTATTTGTTCGTTGTGGTGGACCAGTTTAGCAAGATGGTGATCTTGATTCCTTGTAAGAAGACCGTGACGGGAGCGGGTGCGGCGTAATTATTCTTTGAGCATGTGTGGAAGCATTTTGGGTTGTCGAATTCGATTATTTCGGATCGAGATAGCTGGTTTCTCGGACACTTTTGGGATTCTTTATGGAGCTTGATGGACACTAGATTGAAGAAGAGCACGGCATTTCATCCACAAACAGACGGACAAATAGAGGTAGTTAATCGGACTATGGTACACATGTTGAGAGGATACAATTCCAGACACCCAAGACTTGGGATGAGAGCTTACCATATCTTCAGTTTGCATTTAATCGGACTATTCATGGATCTTCGGGGAAGTCACCGTTTGAGACTTGTTATGAGTTTTTACCTCCTAGTACGTTTGATCTCGTATTTTCTAGTGAAGCTACGGCCCGATGACAAGGAAGGGAGTGAAATACAACGAGCTCAGCGATTTCTGGAGAAGATTGCACATATTCATGTCACGGTGGAAGCTCAATTGAAGAAATCACAGGCTAAGTACAAGGCGAAACATGATCAACATCGAGTTCCTTGTAATTTTGGTAAAGGTGATATGGTGTGGGGCTAAGTACAAGGCGAAACATGATCAACATCGAGTTCCTTGTAATTTTGGTAAAGGTGATATGGTGTGGCTGAAGTTGAGTAAGGAGCGGCTAATCGAGTTCCTTGTAATTTTGGTAAAGGTGATATGGTGTGGCTGAAGTTGAGTAAGGAGCGGCTAAAGGAAGAAGGGAAGAAGTTGAAACCTATACGATATGGTCCGTTTCGGATTGTTGATCAAATTGGTGACAACGCCTTCAAGCTAGATTTGCCACCTTATCTAGGCATGTATTCGGTGATCAACGCCGAGTATTTAAAGTTGTTTGAGCTTCCATTGTTGGATGATGAAGGTGATGACAAGATGATCTTATCGCATGTTGACGACTTGTAGTTTGATAGAGAAGAATCTCTCAAAGAAGATTGTATTTTGGAACAGAATGTGACTACGTCGAGACGCGGGACGAATGTGTTATTTTTGATCGGACGTCAAGGTCAGGTTCCTGGCAAAGCCAAGTGGTTCAACAGAGAAGGAGGGGCTCGCGAGTTCCCTCAGCTACAGTTCTAACTTGAACGAGACTTCAAGTTCCTAAAGGGGGGAGCCATGATACGGTTGTATCTTCTTTCTTGCTTCAGGAGCTTATCGATCCTCATGGAAGCTTGAGAATAGATGATTCTTATGGTATCTTGAGAATAGAGACGTGGATGAAGTCGTTGAAGGCGACAACGTCTAAGAGTATAGAAAAAATTGTAGGAAACACTTTGGACTTCCAGCGATCGACCGCATGTGACGCTGTGGTCAACCGCGACCGTGCACAGCTCAGGAAAAGTCTCTGAACTTTTCGCGGTCGACCGCGATGGGTTCTACGACTGACCGCCAAACCCTGCATTCGATACTGAGTTCTATTGTTCTGTTCGGCTGACCGCACGTGTCTCTGCGGTCGACCACGAGTCGGGTTGGGCCAGACTTCCAGTTTCCTGTTCGCTTTAGGTTTTGTGTTTGATATATATTAAAACACGACTTTTCTAGGGTTAGGGAACCAGATTGGATTTAAAAACGAGATCAGGGAGATTGTTCTTTGATCTAAAGAGATTGTGAGAGAGATTTGTAATCTATTATTTCTCATAATCTAAAGAAGGTATTTTCCTTCGCCCAACTCAATTCTTTGTGTGTTTTTCTATTATCCTCTTCACAACCCTCTTGATAATTTCGCGATCAAGGGTGATCGTTCAGCGACTCGTATCATTAGTCATATAAATTGGTCGTGTATCTCTATTGAACAACCAAAATAGAGGCATATTAAACAGTCATTATCGTCAGTATGTCATGAGAGCTAATTTTTGTGCAATAAAATAAGAACATAACAACTACCATAGATGAACCTTTTTCGAAGATTATACAACAAACGAAATATTCTTATACAACAAACAAAATATTCTTACACATGACAATTAATTAATTAATTAATTGTCCAAATGAGTTAAATATATTGCAAGAATTATTATTATAATTGTGTGAATTGGTATCGCCACATCACTGAGCTAACTCCTAAAATATCAAGAACAATTCACTAATAGCTGTCATGTAAAACAATCTACAAAATCTTTGCTGATAATAATTGGTCCTCATAGGAAAATTCACTTGCTATACCGCTAGCGCTTGAACTTGGGTGAAGGCGTAGTTGTCGGGCTGCTCGTACTTTTTCTCACAACTGGCAGCAGAAAAGTTGCAGTGAGAAAAACATAAAGATCAAATATGACGTATGAGATGGCATGTTCATGAAATTTTACCGGAAACAAGAGGAAAACAGAAGATGTCACCCTGCTGCAGCTTATGATAAATAAATACTTCAGATTCATAAAAGATAGGAAAACTAGAAGTGAAACTGTGAATTTGTTTTTTTGGGATAGCTCCCTTTTAAATAAATGTATTTAAGGTCTTAGCATGTAGAATCATGCAAGCGATTCTCTTTCTAGAGTTGAGTCCACAATAGATTGATAGGGCATTGCAACTTGCAAGTAGTGTGATTTCTGAATCAGCATTGAGATTTGTCCGAGTATAATAACAGTAATAAGGGAAAAACTGAAGTATTTGGGTTTGGCTGCTGAAATCCTCTTTTTCAATTCAGCTACAATATGGGCCATCCAGTGTATTAAGATGCAATTAAGATGAAGTATGACACCGGAATATTCCCACTCCACATACAAATATATCTGAATGCAAGGCAAGAAAAAAAATCTAATGTATGACAATGGATTTGCTGAATGGAAGCTTTTGTGTAACGCCAACCTGTTTCATTAAAATGCAGAACAGTCCTAAATGGATGGGCGGATGGGTGAGAGGGTGGATTGGGAGGCAAGGTAACAGAGAGAAAGAGGTTTGTTCTGCATATGGCACCCTGAGGTATTAAAAAAAAGTCGATACAAAATTCACTCAGGGGTGTATGTCTGTATTTTAAAGTTAAAGGGTAATAAGTGGCATACGCCCATAATGCAGGGGGTGTATGGCAATAACGCTTGAATAAACAAGAGTGTTGTATGGTTGAATTTATGTCTAAAATGGAGCTATATTTGTTGTGGTGCACATGTGAAGGAACAATTCCAAGTGACGATTAATCTTTTTATATAAAGGAAAACAGAATTGAGAAACATGCAAAGATCTTATATTCACAGCATCTTAAAGACTAAAGTATATGCACCTGGAAACTTCAAAGGATCTTTTAGCTTTGATCGGGTGGACATTGTTTGTCCAGTTTTCACTGGAAGTGGTTGAGGCATGTGTGGTGAAACTCTAGGCCTGTAATTAAGAAATATGATTGATATCAGAACACTAGGGTAGATAAACAATTATACTGAATGCTACAACTATCTTAAGTATGGTACAACATATCTCATGTGATATAAAAATTATTATGTTCAGAGTTCAGGCTAGTCCTAGCTATTAATTCAAGCCAATGAATATCTTATTTGTGTCCATCACATCGTCAAAAGAACTTATTGGTCTTAAATAGAAGGACAGACAGCGCAAAAATCAATATGATTACAAAAAAGTTATCAGAACAGAACAAATGTTACTGAAATTTTCAGTAATAAGATTACGAACTTTTCGCCTCTTTCAGTCACTACTTAATACATAACAAGAAATATTATAATCTAGATAACTTCCTGTTTGTATTAGAACTCATTGCCTTAATGGGTTTACTTACATCTTTTCTCCTGGGCTTTCTGATGGTTTGCCAGCTTCAGGGAAGTTATTAATAGCTGGACTGTCAATTTCTGCTCCCATAGAAAGTCCGCCATCAGATATGTCACTAAGTCTTTCCTCTGCATCTGCAGAAGCAAAGCCTAAATTTCAGCATCAGCAAGAAAACTCTCACCCAAGGGCTAATAAATAATAATAACAATGATAATAATACAAACAGCAAGAGAGTATTATCACCCATATTTTCTGAGTAGTTTTCAGGATCTGAAGCAATCTTTTCGTCAGACTTTGACAGCCTTCCACGAGTTAATCGCTGGCCACATTGTCCATTTGAAAGTGAAATGCCTGAAAAGGACGATGAGTTCTTCAATGTGTTGCTTCCCTTAGTAGCCTTGGGATCTTTGAGCAGTTGCAATTCTTCAATTTCCTCTTCTTTCTGAGCAATTGTGTCTTTAAGGGATGCCACCTGCACAGTCCATTATACTTAATTAGGTAATCAAAACTACTAATTCGAGAACAGCTAACATTTCAGCTTTGCAATGTTACAGTATTCAGAGATTATGTGATGAAGGAAAGATGATGCTTCTCATCACCTATTCATGAAGAGGGAACTGGTGAATAGGTATGAACTTTGAATACAGTTGGTATATTCACAGAGTTTCCTGATTTGGATAGAGACTAATCAAGAGAATTTAGAATTATAATTCCTGAAGTTTCTAAATTGGATAATCATTAATTAGATACTGATATATTTCACCTGATATCAAGTCAAGCATCTCTTTTTTTTTTTTGGGGGTGGGGGGGGGGGTTGTTGCCTCACGGCCGGCACGCGAGCTCGTGCATTGCAGGGTTGGTGGGCCGAATCTCCCAGGAGATAACGTAGCTCGTTTACGCCATAGATAAGTTATAAAATTCCAAATTTTTCCTCTATTCTAATCTACATATCTATCACTGAAGCATGTTAGCCTTACTGCATCTATAGATGCATCAGACTTGGATTATTTTCGTATATAGATACATACATACATACATACATACATACATACATATATGAGCCATATGGAGGAATTTGGTACCAAACACAAGTTTTTGTGCTATAGTGAGGTGGTTCATTCCCATCAACTCATTCAAATGGGGGACCACATTCATGTGGGTTGGGGAGTGGATGGCTGGAATGCTGCCCTCACTTACAGCACAAAGTGTGCTCATGGTACCAATTCTAACATACTTACTTATATTCATTATATATATAAATATATAATTATATAATCATATATTATAATATATATATATATATATATATAGTATTATATATATATATATATTGAACATTACAGTAAGTATTTGATTAGGGCTACTATAATCAGATTAGCTCTATTGCATTTCAAAAGGTGTGTTGTAGTAAACAATGTCAGACATCTTATTATCATATGATCAAACCATATCATATGGCAATCATGAAGTTTGAAAATCTGTTGATCTCTTTTTTTTTTGGTGGATCTCTCATTGATATTTCTTGAAATTGTCCCAATTATCTCAGAGGATTTAGCGATGCAAATTTTTACTCAAACATTCTCCAACAACTCATTATTTCTACCATTAACACAAGTCTGTTTCTTATTGCTTTTACTTTTCATTTGGGAAGTATGTTCCTATAGGACATGTGTTAGACAAATTGAGATACTGAAAGTTGTACCCTCTTTCAAGGAAACATACCTAGCTTATATACCATACTTCGGTAGTTAATGGAACTCAAGGTAAGTGGTGGAAAAAAAGAGGACTTAATAGTAAACCTGTTCCATCAGATCTCTAACATCCTTGCCCTCTTTATTGCTCCGTGCAGCACCCAGTTCAACTCCAGATACCCTTTCTGCAAATTTCAATGTACCCATTGTCTCTGAGAATGAGTCTACATCCGGATTGACCTGTACAAACATTAGTGTCTTTGCATGTCCACCTGTACAAGGTGATTAAATTATAAAATGCTACGAGGCCAAAGAAAAGTTTAAGTGATTTATGCAAAAAGTCCACATCAGTCAAAAATAAGGAAAAACACAAAGTAAAATGCAGGGTTTCAGAGCAGATACCCAAGGAACTCTGAAGAACTTGTGTCAGTTTGCTATTTCTGTATGGCACATGACTACTCTTTTGTGCTAAAGCGAAAATGACATCTCCCAGTGCAGATAGAGATCTGTTGATGTGTTGTGCCTCCTTAAGCCTGTCTCCTGTTACTTCAGAGCGATCCACCCTCTCACTTCCAGCGAGATCGACTAGATGAAGGCTACCGCGTGTACTGCATCCAGTTTTCAAATCTGTGCCTTCAACATGGATAGTAACAACACTGAAATAAAAATAAATGTAAATGGTATAAATAAATGTTCAGAGGTTGTGCATCAAGATAGTTGAAAATGAACCTGTGAGATCGGCTACTTCTTTCGTTCATTGCAGTTGAACTCATCGCCCTGTTTGAAAATCCAAATTGCATCAACTCCAGGACATCTGAGGTCGATTTAACTGGTAGCATGCTTGCATCAGGAACAGCAAGTCCATTGCCTTGCAAACCACTCACGATCCCAAGTGTTTGCAAGTTAAAGAGGACAAATTTCAGAATACTATGAAAACATTTAAAACTATTAAAATTAGATAAATTTCAGACAGGAAAAATATGGAACATTCGTATTCTCATGCATTCGACAAATCAATAATGCAGATTTGAAAATCATTCCATTAAAGTTTCATGTGCTTATAGAAGAACTTTGAACGGCTCCTAAAGTAAGAAAGATGATACACGTGTGAAAGGATATTTCTTTTGTGAATCATTGCTTGTCAGGAGATCACGGACTTGCTCATTATATATTTCAATCATCTGGACACCTATTCCATACGAGAAAGCATTCTTCCTAGAGTGAGAAATATCAAAAAGATCATTCAGAGCTCGAAAGTTAACCCCCCGCTCCTCTTTGGTTGGTGAATTGGGCCCACTCTGTTGAAAGAAAAAGAAAAACACAATGCTACATTTTTTTATATTGTGAGAAATAATAAAGATAATTTATCCAAAATACAGTTTACAGTGAGGCAATAATGGAAAAGCATACCATTGTATAGGTTTTACCAGAACCAGTTTGACCATACGCAAATATACAAACATTGTAGCCATCAAGTACAGACCGCACTAAAGGCTGAATATCCAAATATACTTCCTCTGAAAGTAATAAAAAAGGGGGAATCAATTGATGCAGGTAAGTAGTGTGAAATAATATTTTTAGTATGAAATAATATTTTCTCATCTAGGTACCAAGTTTTATGTTTATCTTGCAAAATAGATAGAATGGTTTCTCATCTAGGTAACAAGTTTAATGTTTATCCTGCAAACTAGATAGAAGTATAAGAATCAGAACCTTGAGTAGAAGCTGGACCAAATGTCTTATTGAATTTGAACAGCCGACGCCCATCTTTTCCTTGTTTAGAGGGGTTTATGACCAGAACTTCACCATTTTCTCCCACATATTCAACACTACTCGACTTTCCTTTTTGACCAGGAAGGAATGGCCTTATTCGACAATATACTCTGATATTCCCTGATCAAGTAATCAAATCATGGTGAAAGTTTTACAAACTATGAAGTTACAAACAAATAAATCTGTTAACTATAAACCTTTTAATTCTAGAACCTCATTGTACAGTCTCTGGTTTTCTGCTACAACTGCATGGTAATTCTCAGCAGCATCTACTAGTACTTTTAGCTTTACACCTTGAATAATCATAAATCAAACATGTTGAAGAGGTAACAAAAGACAGAGAAAAGAAAAGTTCAAATCCAGAATAATTTTACCCAAGTTCGTCATTTCTTCCCTCCATCCTTCTTGAGTTCTGAAAACTTCTTGCTTGATGGATTTAGATTCTACCCTAATATTCTGAGGTAGGATAGACAGTAAATAAAAAAGATGCATTAAAAAGGACTGAAGCAAGATAAAGAAGAACAAACCTTGATTGACTGTAGTTGGAAGCCTATGAAGTTCTGAAAAACATGTTCTTTCTTGTTCCAATTTTGGAATTTTGATTCCGAGAACGCCTCTAGTTCTGTGGTTCTCTTTCTCGACTCTTGCAAAAGGGTTTCAGCCTCCTTTATTCTCCCCTCTAATTGTAACTTGACTTCCTTATAACTTTTCGCCAACTGTTGGCAGTGTTGTTCGTACGACCTTTTAGCAGTTTCCAGTTCCTTTTGTAAGTTTGAGTATGACATTTTAGCAGCTTCCAGTTCCTCTTTTAAGTTTAAGTGCGACATTTTAGCAGTTTCCAGTTCCTCCTTTAAGTTTGAGTACGACCTTTTACCAGTTTCCAGTTCCTCTTTTAAGTTTGAGATCATGAGATCACTATTTTCCTTTTCCCTCTTCAGAACAACGGTATCTTGATCAACATGTTTCTTACTCTCTTCAACTTTTGTTTTTTCTGTCTGCATTTGGATACTCAAAGATAATAAAAGCAAGGGTATAAATTTACTTTTAATATTGAAAAATAGAATTCTAGTAAACCGGTAGTGCTTGAGTAGCAAAGTGATTGCTACATGTGCCAAAAAAGCCATCATATTACTTTAGATACTGGATGGCTAATGTATCAAATGAACTATGCCACCTTTCCATATAATACACAGAAGAGGTCATCTGCCCTGATATTACAGTGATCAATGTTTTCCTTCTCCCTTCGTCCAAATAGGTTTAAATACTGCGTGCCTAAACCGAACTTTTTTCTAATGATTAATCATATAAGTACATTGAATAATTGATTTGGACATCATTTTTACCAGAAATAGTTTAATATGATCTTTAAACCATTTCTCAAATGCTTATATAAACCGAATATCTCCCTTCTTTAAGCGGTCCCCTCTACCCCTCTATCCAGAGTCCAGCAACTTCGGAAACAACCAACATCACAAATCGGAGACAAGCAAGGTCTGTTTCGTGTCAAAAGAAGTCAATGAATTTATCATTTCTTTCTATTGGTTTGAATACAAAATATTACAAAGTTTTAGTTATGATTTTAGTTCTGAGAACCTGTGCCGGAAGAGACTAGGTCTTGGCTTCGTTCAGCACACTAACAAATTGTTCAAATATTATGAATGTTGTTGAGAAGGGACTATCTTTTCTTCAGAAAACAGTCTAAGCCAAATTCTTCTAACTGTCCTGAATGTAATAAGCACGGCCATATCAAAAAGGATTGTGTTCTATTGTAGGACAAGTTCAACAAGAAGACATGTATGTAGGACGGAAAGAATCTAAACCTAATGATTCTGAGAAAGACGATAAGCCTCAATATAAGGGAAAGCTAAGCATTACGGGTCCTAACGTTTGCTTTATGACTAATGAATATGAGGTAACTTTTGAATCTGAAAACATTGACACTATGTTATTAGAAGAAATAGAAAGTACATTTGTTGTTTTGAGCAAAGAATAGGATATCCTTTTCTTCCCTTTTTATTGATAATTTAGAAGAGTGACTTTCTATATTTACAACAATGTAATTTCAAATCCAAATCTTTAGTTTGGATTTAAATTGGGCTGAGATTTCAAATCAAATTATTTTAAACAGGAGAATTTGAAAGCCCAAATACTAATATTCCAAATCACAGCTTGCCCCTAGGTATTTACCAAATCCCGATCCCCACTCCTCTCTCTCATTTCTCACTCCCGATCCCCGATCCTCGATCGCGACTCCTCTCTCTCATTTCTCAGTCTCGATCTCAACTCTCAAGTTCTCTCTCAACGCAGCAGGTAACATCTATCTCAAGTTTTGATCTAGGGTTTCAGTCTCCCCCTTTCTCCTCTCTCTCCCTGTTCCATCGAAACCCTAGATCTGATCTAGGGTTTAGGTCGTGATCTTCGTGGTTTAAACCCTAGATCAAAGCAAAATATGAGATGATCATTCGTTAAAACCCTAGGTCGTGACAACAAATTTTTGTTGAACTCTGACTTGGCTTTTTTCTTTGTAGCTTGTTTCCTCCTCTCTTTCGGTTGCTCTCCTCAAGCTTCTGTAGTTTCTGATTGGGATTCAAGGTATGACTTCAATTTTTACTGTTTTTTAAATTTTTTTTTTAAATTTCCCCTTTCTTTTTCTGTGCTTTTAAATTATCAGCCACTGTAAAAATGTAAATATGTAAAACACAGTTCTTTGTTTTCTTACAGGTATTAAATTTGCTTGCAAAGGAGAGTAAGTTGTGAGCAGATTTCAAAAGGAACAAAAAGAGGTGGGCATATACTATCAGATTCAATCTTATGATGCTATTTTTGATGTAGAGGTTTTAAATTTGACATGTAAAAATGTGTTTTTACCATTTATTGTTTGTCATGAAAACCAGCTGCTATCACTGTAGAAACCGTCTTTTACATGATCAAACACTAGCCTTTATATATTGAAACATCTGCAGTATTAAGGTTCTACACTGTTATGTTCTCAATGTTGTGCTAGAATTACTGGTTTCATTGGTTTTTACTATCTCAAATTCTGTGGTCTTGAGTATTATTTAAGATGTTGACCAATGTGACCTGAGCTAAATTATGTGTGTATGGATGCAAAGTTTGGTGGTTGCAATGGCCATCCTGTTCTCATTGCATAGTCTGTAATGTTGGTATTTATCCTTACCTAGCGCCACCTCATGTACTTAGGCCTTAAGTATTTAACTCTTATAAATCATTGGTTCGTAAGTTTCTTTTTTCGGAATTCTTTTTAAAAGAGAAGAACACTACGATATCAACTTCAGTGATAACAAACTGTAAATTATTTTTATACTCTAACTACAGTGGATATCTGTTTGGATGTTCATGTGTACTTCATTTTCTCCCTACTCTCTTTTGAACATAAATGTGTAGGTTGTAACTCAAAATGCCATGTTCAGGTAACTTGTGCATTTGTAAATTTGTGTTTTTTTTTATGTCCTAAAAACTATTTCAATTACATATGCTATGTAGAAATGCATCTGAATGCTTCCTGGTTAGTTTTAAAGCTTTGGTTAACTCTGGAAATGTATATATAAAGTGGAAATGTATATATAAAGTAGAAATGTTATGCTATCTGTATCTTGTTCATGATTCGATAAGCATCATTATATGAAAGCTAGTCAAAAACTGTATATCATGTTGTTTGTGTTTGTTAGATAAAGATGTCAGAACAAAAAAGAATAGCATAGAGGAGCAGAAAAGACTTGAAAGTTAAATGTAATTTGCTAAATATCCTGCTGTATTTCCTCATTTCTATGTCTTGAGTTGTTTTTTCTTAGGACTATTAAATTTGCATCCTGCTAAATATATTATTCAGGATATATGTGTAATCTGCTTGCATGTTTAACTTTTAATGTGATAGGTTAAAAATGATAAATGATGGAAGGGATTCAATGATCTAACATAAACGTACAAGGGAAGAATTTGAAAGGAGAGAGGATGAGGAAACTATTATGGTAGTAGTCAGTTTTATAGTTGCTGTCATTGGTGCTTGGTACTATACAAAGCATATGTTGAAGGAGAGTTTAAGAACGCACGAAGAAGAGGATGAAAGGACATACCTTAGAAAGTCTTGCATTCGAACTTATTTGCAATGCAAATAACTGTGTTAGACAACTAAGGATGAATCCTCAAGCGTTTAAGAGGTTATGTGATATTCTATGTACTAGAGGGGGATTAGTAGCATCAAGAAATGTCATGATTAAAAAAATTATCGCTATGTTTTTGCATATTTTAGCTCATAATGTAAAAAATAGAACAAGCAAAACAGATTTTTATCGTTCAAATGAAACAATTAGTCAGTAGTTCCACAAAGCACTTCAAGCAGTCATGAAGATAGGAAGCTTCTATATTAGATAAGAATATACAAATCCTAATGAAAGATACATAGAGAAGTAAAAATGGTTTGAGGTAACTATGGCTTCTTGTATTAAGGTTTTCATGTTTAATACTTTTGTTTATTAGAACTAATTGTAAGGTTGTGCAATTTTAAGATGCTATCGGGGCACTTGATGAGACTCGTATCCAATTAACTATTCCCTTGGAAGATCAAAGTAGATATCGAAATAGAAAAGGAGAGGCCAGTACAAATGTGCTTAGTGTTTGTGATGTCAATTTGAGATTTTCATATGTGCTATCTGTATGCTATCTAAAAATCACTGCAAATAGCTGATCCCCCATCAAACACTGATGATGAAAGTTACAATCTGACGACTTCCAGAATTCTATAATTTGAAAACTTTTACGTAGATCGATGAAGGTTATAATCTGACGATCTTCACAATAACTGATAAAAGCTCTAATCAACAGTCTTCATAATCAACATCGGAAGTTACAATCTGATAACTCTCATATTTTTAAGAAGTCAAGACGAATATTATAAGATGACGGTCTTTGCAACGCTTCAACAAAAGAGACCATAAATTAACGGTCTTTTCACATCAAAACGCAGGGGTCATCCCTACGTTTACCATCAGAACGCAGAGGTCATCCCTGTATTATAACATCAAAACGCAAAGATCATCCCTGTGTTACAACATCAAAACGCAGAGATCATGCCCACGTTTCAGAGTCAATACGCAGAGTTCATCCCCAGCGCTCCAGTTAAAAACGTAAAGTTCGCGGACTCAAAACGCGGAGTCCATCTCTGCATCCCAACTCTGCGTTTCAGATTTACAACGCAGCGCGACATGTGCGTTCAGCCATCAAAATAGGCCCAACTCTGCGTTTTAAGTCTAAAACGCAGAGTTTGGGCCCTGAACGCTATTTTTTAGCGTTTGACTCGTTCAAAGCACGAACTGAACGGTTTTAAAACCGTTTTTTCCATGATTTGGGGAGCTATTTAAAGGGGCGGTTGCACCTCATTCAGCCTCACTTAGGAGCGAATTAAGGGAGCGGTTATACCCCTTAATCCCCTATAAAATAACAAAAAACTCAATTGAGTTCGGGCTCTCGGATTGATCCTTCTTTTGACCTTCAACTTGGCAGAAGAGAGGAAAACTTCGGCTAGCTCTTTGGGGAAATTGTTAGAGTTTTGGAGATCGGCAATAGGAACTTTCTTCATCCTTAGCTTACAAACTGATTTCGGTTAAATCAACTCTTTCATAGAGTTTCAAACTCATTTAGAGTTCTAAAACTTGCTTTGCAAGTTCTCCACAGTATCAAATCGTGAGGAGGAGATATCGTTCCAGTGAATCAAGACGTTCGGATCGTCAACGAAGAGCAAACTCGATGCGAATATTCGAGGGAGGCACTCGATCGCCACCGTGAAGAATCCAGAATTAAACAAAGAGGAGAATTCCTATTAATTCTTTTCTCTTTTGTAATCAAGAAATCTAAATTGTAATCAAGATTGAGAGAATAAAACATACAATTCTTTTATTTTCATTTCACAAATTTTCCAACAAACACTACCTGGTTGGAAGGGTTCAACATCAGATTCTCGTGTTTTGCGTGATGCTTTGCGTCGACATAATGGCTTGAAACTTCATTCAAGTAGGAATATAATTTTTTTGAATTAATATATATGTAATGCTTCCTAGTTTTTACATTATTGTGACTGAAGATTTTAATTTTGTAGATAAATACTTTCTTGTGGATGCTGGGTATACAAATGGGCCGGGGTTTTTGGCACCTTATAGAGGAACTCGCTATCATATAAAGTCTTGGAGAGAAAATGATCCAAGAAACTACAAGGAGTTATTTAACCAACATCATTCCTCTGCTAGAAACACAATTGAGAGGGCATTTAGATTGCTAAAAAAGCGATGGGCTATATTACGGACAGCTAGCTTTTATAGTGTTAAGACTCAAATTAGGAGGATTGCTAAAAAAGCGATGGGCTATATTACGGACAGCTAGCTTTTATAGTGTTAAGACTCAAATTAGGATCATTAATGCATGTTGTATTCTTCACAACTTTTTACGTGAAGAGATGAATCAAGACGACTTGTTGAATGATGTGGATCGAGAATTAGAAAATGCTCCTGTTTTAGAAATTGGGAATGTAGATGAGGAGCGTATCACCACTGTGAGAGTTACAGATAAATAAAGTAACTTTAGAGATGATTTGGCTATGCAAATGTGGGATGAATACTGACTTTGAGAGGGGTCTAGCATCCACTTTAAGATTTGATCCTAAAGTTGGTCAGCAGTTGTGAATAATTTTATGTCTTTGATAAGTTTTATGATCTTTGATTATTGACATTATTCTTCAGCCTTCATTACTAATCAACCTTTGTGCTTCATTACTAATTCTGTGTCATTCACTTTGGTATATATTAGGATAACAAAGAAAGAGAAACAAATTGCATCTCAATCGAGATCATATGTTATGTGGAATCGTGATATGGACTCAACTTTAGCCAATGTGTTGTACGATCAAATGAACCAAGGATTAAAAGTCGATGGTACTTGGAAGCCTCAAGTGTATCAAGTTGCGGTTGATGCACTAAAATCATTTAATAGCAACTTGAACAAAGATAATGTGAAGAATCGACTCAAAATTTGGCAACTTGAACAAAGATAATGTGAAGAATCGACTCAAAATTTGGAAAACACATTATAATGTTATCTATGATATTAAAAATAAAAATGGTTTGACATGGTAGGATGATGAGAAGAAAATGGTGATTATACCCGCTAGTGAGCAAAAAGTATGGAGCGACTATGTTACGGTAATATTGCACTTTATACTTATTAATTTGATTATTAGTTTGTTACATATATCTAAAAATATTTGTGAATGTTCTTATATTGCAGGCTAATCCAGATGCAAAAGGCTACCAGAATCGTTTGATTGAAAATTAGGATGATATTATGGTATTATGTGCAAAAGATAGAGCCAATGGTGAAGGTGCAGAAACCTTTGAAGAGGCTGCTAACGCAATACAACATGAGGAATCTGAAGCACAATCTGAAATAAATAAAGGTGTAAGCTCTTCAAAGAAACATCTTCCTAGAGCATCAACTAGTGGTGAGATAAGTTCAAAGAAACAAAAAAAGGGGATAAAATGGCTGATTCACTTGCAGTGATGGCAGCTTCTGTGAGTGAGTATTTTAATGAGAGAAAGAAGGAAGTAGTAAGAAAACCACCAACTGGAGAGGAGATTCATCAAATGGTCTTAAAAATACCCAACTTAAGTCACATTCAAGTGTTCAATGCATTTGAGAAGATAATGGATAGCAACCCGGAAAAGTTTTATTTGTTAAAGTCACTTTCTGATGATGAAAAAAGAGATTTTATTCTCTTTATTCTTAAGGAGTAGTTTCTAGTTGGATAACAAGAACCCCCAAATCTTTAAACCCATTTGAGTAAGTTCTCTCTTGGATTTCTTCATCTCGATGTTATTTGAACAATATTTTTGACCGAATATTTCTAATTTTTTGATGATTTTATTATGAATGCATTAGGGTTTGGTGATTTTGATGGATTCTTAGCTAATTCAAGCAAGGAGTGATTGTCTCATCTTAAAGGTACAATTTTTTTCATTTTATTGAGAATTTAGTTCTTTTTATTTACTGTATACTTGATTACTCCTATATTGTAGATGAGCTTGATGTATTAAATAAGTCACATATGCATCTATAGTCATATGTATTAAATAAGTCATTTATGAATTGTATGCTAATAATATAGATAAAGCAACTTTTAACACTTAATGATCTTCCTCGTGTGGGTCTTTGACCCAAATGAAAACTTCTGATGTAAACATCACTTACTTGAAAAGGTAGGGGCATGGACACAAACATTTATTAGTGGTTTACAGTTTTATTATTGTATCAACTGCAGAGACTGCTGAATGTTCATCCTGCTCCTGTGTCAAAACTAATTATTTGGAATCTATTTGGTAAGAGCACAAGAGTCATATTTTTTTATGATGCACATAGGATCTATAGTGTTCTAATATAAACCACATTACATGATATTTGCCACTAAGTTTGTGTAAAGTTGTAATCCAAGTCTCACTTGATTTCCATGTTCGACGTAAGGATCTATCTGCTTGTTTGGGGCTTCAAATGGATTCCAAACTACAGGTTTTATGTATTCGTGGTAAACCACCTTTTTTTGGCGAGCAGTGATTTTAAGATGCTTAGTTATTGCGTTGTTAACAGTTTATAGGCTCAGTTTGTGCTTAGTGTCAAGAGCTCAGTTATCATTAACAGATTCTAGGTTCCATTTGTACTATATATACATTATCAGGTTTTATCTATTCATGGTGAAGGATCCTTGCTACATAGTTTACACAAGTTTTTTGCTAATATATTCATGGTGAAGGAGTATTCATGGTGAAGGATCCTTGCTACATAGTTTACACAAGTTTTTTGCTAATATATTCATGGTGAAGGATCCTTGCACCAGGTTGTGTATCATCTAGTGTATTGATTTCCCTAACCAATACTCTCACAGGTCTCACTTATCCGATATTTTAGTTTGATTTGTTAGCTTGTTAGCTTGATTAAAAAAATTATTGATCAGCTCATTTTCTTTGCAGGTTTTGGGCTCATATAGTGATGGTATATGAATTACTCTTTTGTTGCTACGGATAGGCTTTATCATACGAGCACTTCTGAATTCTCAGTTGTAATTTCTTTATATCAAAGATACTTCTCTTCTCACATGCTATTCAGTTTGTAACTCTTTGTATTTTTTCTTATTAACATTTCTCTTGGTATATCAAAGACCAAATTGACTATGTAATTGTCAGTTGTACCTGCATTTGAGAAGATAATGGAATTGTTACTTATTTGCTCTGAAGTCAACTTATTCTCACTTTGAATATGTGTGGAATATGAAACAAGCCTCAAGTGTTTTCCAGCCTGGATATCTGTGAAATATGTAATGGTAATGTATTATTTAGATGCTTTTTTTGTAAGATACATAATATGTTTGTAGAGTTTTCTTTATTTTTATTTTGTTGAAAGTCTTGCAAGTTATGGTCGGTAATGAATTTGAAAACTTAGCAAATGTAGCTATCATCGTCAAAATTAGCTAAATTTGTGTTTTTTTTACTATTTTACATATCTTCATTGCATTTGATGTAAACAAGATGGGTTAAGAGAATAAATTTTTATCAATTTTAAATTCAAATTCATGTATAATAAAGTACCCAAACACTAGATTTTGAAATCAAAGATTTCAAATACTTTCATTTAATAAAGATATCCAAACAAAAGATTTCTTAAATCATGGATTTAAGATTTCAAATACTTTCATTTAATAAAGATATCCAAACAAAAGATTTCTTAAATCATGGATTTCAAATCTTAAATTTAAAATCCCTTGATTTTAAATTAACTTCCCAAATCCAAATCAAAGTTTCCAAACGCAGCCTAAACTTATTTGCATTATATACCCGAATAACTACAAGTATATTACAAAATTACATACTAAAACTTAAATTTTGATCACAGATTCTTAAAAAACCTAACAAAAATCTGCAAGATGAAACTATTTCCAAAGGCATAATTTTACGTAGATGGCAGTAAATATTAATGTGGCTTTGGTGGGGGGGAAGAAGACTACACTACATAAAGGTAACATAGGAACCTAAATGTCATGGAAAAACCTACAATATACATGATACAAGGGGCCCGGGGGTGGTTTGGGGGGGGGGGGGGTGTGAACCAGTGAAAAACAAAGTTCAAATGTTTTTTGGCTTTTGGCTTTTGGTTTTTGACTCGAGGGTGAAGGCTTTGTTTTGAAAATCTATGGGGGTGGAGGAAGTTTTCCCAGATATAGAATATAAATTAAGGCACAACCTAGACTGACAGACGCAACCTCTGCCCCGGATGGTTGAAAACTTTTGCAAGGTAGGACTCTATTTTATTTATTTTATTTTTTGACACATTTAGGGAAAATAAGTACAATAGTTATAAGTGCAGTGAATCAATGAACAAAGCTGAAATAATGCAACTAGTATTGAATCATTTCAAACCCTCAAGGCCAGTTCAGCTGGTTTGCAAATTATGATTATGTCAACTTGAACTCTACATGTGTGGCTGGCTGCCTACCAGACGAAAAGGGAAACACTGGAAGCAACGTTTACTTGTTTTCAACAAGATTTGATACCAATGCTTAAGTTAGCAGCCCAGTCATCTTCCAATCATTGATTAACATATTGTTCTAATGAATCATGGCGTTCAATTTCCAACTGTTATCGTATAACCTAGATGGCCATACATGGTAATCGAGCTAAAGGCTAGCTGGATCTATG